GTGCTTTACACACTCTGATTAGATTCACAGGGTAGAGAGAGTCAAGTAAATCACTTATCAAAGCCATCGCACTTAAAATGTAATTTTCATAAGTGGATGTCCTGTGGCCATGAGGAGTCACAACCTATTTCAAGGCCATCTGTGGGTGCTTATCTCCCTGCACAGGAGGTTCATGGCACCAAGAAGAGTTGTCCTTCACTGGGGCGGATGTTCACAGCTGGAGTCCATGTTTTTCACTGCCTCCCAATGGCTTTTTCTATCGCCTCTGAAGGAAAGTATCTGTCCTCCACTGCAGACCCCAACCAATCTCCCCACTGCTCCATGCCAGTTCAAAGGAAGTGGCTTTTTCTGCGTTAACTGGCTCGGTTTTTCTCCAGCCCTTTCTCTGCATTCCTGTTTCTCCTCCAGCTTCCTGCTGTCTTTGTATTCTGCAGCCAAACACAGTTTGCAGGCCAAACACTCAAACTATGCCTCTCTCTACCCAGTTCAATGACACCGCTCATGTCAACACAAAAAAATCCAGGGAATTCACAAGGAACCTCTTCAATAATCAAAAGCTCAGCTTGCCTGTGTGTTTCCTTCCAACAAAGCTACCACAGCTCTAGGAAATCACAGCTAAGACTGTAAGAATAGCCAGATCAATCTCCACTTACCTTACAAATCAAGAACTGCCTGTACTCAACACACTCCCTTACCTCTTAAATCCATAACAAATACTCTCAGAGTGCATCTTGTATTGGCTGCAACAGTTAACTTAGTGGAGAGGCAGGACTCTTGTTGCTCCCATTCTTTGAAGGTACTACAGTAAAATAAATGTCTACTTTAAACTCCACTAGTAATAACAAAATACACAATTCCATACACTAATAAAGTCAAACAGAAATCATCCAAATTACTATCACAGAATCATAGACTCATTATAGAATGGTTTGGGTCAGAAGGCACCTTCCAGATCTTCCAGTTCCAACCCTCCTAACGAGGGCAGGGACACCTTTTGTGAGACCAGGTTGCTCAGGGCCTCATCCAACCTAGCCTTAAACATCTCCAGGGATAGGACATCCACAGCTTCTCTGGACAACCTGTTATAGTGCCTCCACTCTCTCAGAGTAAAGAGTTTCTTCCTAGTATCTGATCTAAAACTAATCTCTTTTAGTTTGAATCCACCCCCCCTTGTCCTGTCACTACATGTTCTTGTGGAAAGTATTTTTCCCTCCTTCTTGTCAGCCTCCTTTAGGTACTGGAAGGCTGTAATTAGGTCACCCCTAAGCCATCTCTTTTCCAGGCTGAACAATTCCAGTTGTCTCAGCCTTCACTCACAGGAGTGATGCTCCTTCCCTCTAATCACCTTTGGTTGTCTCCTCTGGACTTACTCCAAGAGGCTGATATCCTTCCTGTGCTGGGGACCCTAGAACTGAAGTAATCTTACTTAGCCAGCCTGTGTTCTAGCAAGGAAGCGAATAGGTTGGCTTTGGCAATGTCTCAGGAACTCACACAGCAACTGCTCCATGCACGGTGGAACAAAGGGCATTTGTGTACTTAGCTTTTATTTTCCACTTCAAAGTTTTCTATCATGTCCTCCACGAACAATACAAAACTTACAAGGAATTGCCTTTTAATTCTACTATCAAGAAATAAGGCTTTTCTCTCATGTTTTGACATTACATCTGTAACCTGCTCTTACTGGAGTTATTTACATTAAAGAGTCTCTTAAAAGTTTCTCTATCCTCAAAGTGTGTGCCTGCAGCTGGACAGAGAAGCCAGTACACTTTGAAGAAGCTGCTATAAATTAGTGCATGGGGTTAGATGAGGTTCAGGATTCCTGCAGTGATTATAAACTCTACAGGAGACCTTACAACAGCTCCAATCTCGACAGGGTTACTGTCTTGCTAATCAACCTCCTTCAGGACTGGAAGAGGTTCTGTGTTTCAGTACTTGGGGGCATTCTCTGGAAGCTGCAGTTTTGTGCAGAAGGATCTGTCAGTTTACAAAATCTATAGAGCTTTGATACATTTGGTAAAACAACATCCAAGAAGGCTAGACTTAAGCTGTGGCAACCTGTGCTGCAGCACACAGCAAAAGTCTTGTCACAGTTAGCGCAACATCAGATTTGGTGATTTTAAAGCCACGCCTAAATTGATTTGCAGCCCAGGTCCAGATGTTAGCTCTGGTCATGGCCACATCCTGGAACCAGAGGATGACAAGATCCATGCACAAAACTGCCTCTTCTGCCTGCCTCTTCCCCTGGGGAAGGGAACACCGGGAAGCAGATGGAGCAGACCTGGGGCACACTTATTACTGCCCTCGATCTTGACTGAGGAAACATGGACATGCCAGTATCTGTTTCATGGAAAAGCCACAGCCTGACTTGTGCAGGGAACACATCACCTAGAAAGAGAGGATGCTTTCTGCTTTGTGTTGTGAAAGAGGTATCTTAAATAGGGTGAAACATTCCTTAAAAGGATGAACTTTAAGCACCGTCTTCCTTTTGCTGATGCTCCATACATTACGAGTGGCCCTTCTCATAATAAACACATTCCAGCAGGCCAGCCACTTTTTCTGAAGGAACACAATTGCAGCTGCTGTGGCTTTTCATTGTCTGCCTTTGGGCACCCCTGTATAGCAACTTCATATATTCTGTTTTAAAAGAAACTAAACTTTGGCTTTAGGATATGAATAGCACCTCCATAAAAACCATGGAAATGGCATCCCTTATAAACAGTCTGTTTCAGAAAAGTAGAAAATCCATGGTACAACTTCATGGATCCTCTTAGGACAAAAAGAGGGAATGGAGAGGGATGGAAATGTCTAGATGCCAGTAAATTACACAGTGAGCAGCAAAGGCACATTATTACTGTTGCTGTTGTCAGTGATTATCAGTGACAACAACCACTGAAGATCTGGATTTGTATTACGAGAGTACATAAGCACTGCTTTTGTAACACACAGCAGTTCCTTGACATAGAAAATCCACTTTTCGGTACAAAAGAGAGCAGATGGATATATCTGACCTGACAGAGTACTACAGGAAACAATTGGGACAAAAATGTTCAAGCATGAGAAACAGTGGTAGAGCTCTGACTTCACCACTGGTTTTCCACCATCCTTGGGAAAAAAGGTAAAATTAATTGATGTGAAACTTAGCAACATTTTGACATCACTAGCTAAGCTAAAGTGGGATTTAATATGTTAGCATGGACTAGAGGCCTTACAATCAGAGACAAATAGCTGTGCTTGATGTGATAGAGAAGGAGATGACAGTGGTAAGATGTGAAGACAAATGTCTCTGGGCAAGATGTCAAGCCAGGAAAATGATCTGCGCAGCAGCATGAATGGAGGTGGGAAACATTGCATTTGTCAAAAAGTAGGAAAGGATGCAGCAGCAATCAAAGTGTGTAATGAGAATTTTGGACCAAAGACTTACACCCTTGAGAATAAAGAGCTTCAGTCAGAAATACTATAGATTAACAGCCTGGAAGATTTACGTGTAGTCTTAGACACAGAGACACAAGGGAAGCTCAGAATAGAAAGTGATGCCTAGGTTTGCAGACATGGAAGATGGGCAGATTGGTGAGGGCAGAGGTTACCCATCATGAAACTTGACTAAAGTATTTCTTGAGGAACATTCCAAAAGAAAAAAAAAGAGAGCAGCAGCTGTGTTCATGGTTTTGGAGAAAACACCTTACAATCTTCAGTCATACAGTGAATTTTTCTTCCTAGATGGGGTCTCTTATATACCCATTTTTCTCTGTGTGGAAGGAATTGTGCCTCTTCTATATTTTTGCTTAATTGCATGAGCCAAACTACAGAAACTAAAGGAGGAAAACCAGTTTCTCTGACTGTTCATTTTGAAAGCCTTGCATGAAAAGGGGAGTCTATGCATCACATCACATCATGAATTCATGGTATCTGCCACTAATTTGTAACAAACCAGCAGGGACTGTGGCTTAGGTTTTTTGACTATGCACCTGAGTCCTAACAAAGCCTACTTTGTAAATGTTAGCTAAGTAAAATCTCTGTCAGTGAAGTCATAAGCAATATATCATCATCACCTTTCGACAAACTCTTTGTCCAGTTTAAGAATTAAAAGCTGCATTTAACATATTGAGGGAGAATGGAGGAATGCCTTGAGAAACAACAGGCTTAATGCACTGGTAACCTCCAAACCAAATATTTATAACCAAGTAGTTTATAAATCATCAGAAATATTTGGGTGGTGGAACATCCAAGAGGTAGACACACATACAGTAAAAGGGAGGTTTTATCATTTCATCTACCTTGCTTTGTGTTTCAATCACTATTGCATCAGATTTTTAAGCATTGTGAATTATTGAATTGTTATTTTTGAAAAAGAACCAAAGTAACCACATAGATTAAAATATTAAAGAAAAATTTCATTGTTTGTAAATTTTTCTGCCACACAAAATAATGAATATCCAAGTCGATTCAAGCCAAGATCTGTCTGGATGTGTATTAATTTGGTCTATGAAAATAAACTAGAAATTACTAAGATAAAATAAATAGTAATGAAATATGGAAATAACTACAGATTTTGCACATTGTCATTATATAATGGACATAATGAAAATAATGACATTACATAATTAAATCCAGGTGGAAAATGACCTTCCTAGACCTCCCTTCAAAATTAAGATTTTTGACAGTCATGATTAATGGAAACATGCACTTTGCATGGTTTGTAAACCTGAAACATCATTGTACATTTCAGTTTATAATTTATCCCATTATCTGCTTCTCCATGCATGAAGGTCAGCTGTACAGGCATAAAGTAGCACTGAAATCCACAGGCTTTGAAAGGTTGTTCTCACAGATTTTTCAATTATTTTTCATGAGGAAATAATTTTGCCTACTTTTTCCTTAGAAAGATGACAATCTAAAGGAGGAATATTTTAACAGCAGTCATTGCAATATTCTTGTTATTCTCTTGTCTTTTCAGAGAAAACAAAATGGGACTGGAAAAAATGATTTTTCAGGATTCCTACCCGCAATATTTCTTCAATGCAGCTGTTATCTCCTGTTCCACTGTCCTGTAAACAAAATGAGAAGACAGTTTGTTTATGTTTTAAAAAGAGCTAACAAATAGGTCTGAGGACATGGTTGTCACATGAAATATATTCCAACCTCTATTACAGTTTCAAAATGAGGCCAAGTCTTTCCAGCATCTGAGAAGTTGCACTGCTTAAAATTCTCAAATTATTCCCTATCAGCACCCCAGGAAGATGCAATATTTGCAGTGTTTACATATGATTGCAACATATTTCTATAAATTCAATGGACTTGTTTCACACTACTTTTGGGTGCTGTTCCTGTAGTTTTATCTCTACTGCATTTGAGTAAGCAGATGCAAAGAAGTTATTGCATGCACATGGATCCAATGTGCATTTATTTATATTAAATAAATAACATTTCTCCACATCCTTTGTGCAGCAAAGCTCTGCAGTGACACTGTTTCTGTAAAGCCTGAGGATCTATAGCGTAGAGGGGAGAGCAGAGATTGCAACACAGGCAGCAATATTGAGCACGGCACAGCAGTCCTGAGAAGCTGTGATTTCCTAAAATGCCAACTCTAAGCCCACCCATACACTGTGGGACTGAGGGCACAGAAGAATTCCACTCTCCCAAGCAGTATGACTCACTCCAGAGCTACTCTGCAGAGGGGAAATCAGAGATTTGGCAGGGCAGCTATTCCCCTGCAGGAACCATCCAGACGGTGCCTCACCTACCTGCTCAGCCTGGGTGTTCACTGGGACCCAAACTTCTGCCAGCAAGGACAAGGCAGCATGAGACACATACCCCCCTCCCTCCTCCTGCCCTCTGCCCACAGTTTGCTCGTACTGCCTAGCACAACCAGGAAGAGCGGGCACACTTGGATGGAGGTACTGATACCAAGGAGATGCCCATCTCCTACAACTCTCCTAAAGATACAGATGGCTGCTGCATCCAGTGAGCTGTCTGGGGATTTCCTTCACCACAATGACAATCTCCTTCAAGGTGGATGTGGCTTCACTCCCTGACAGTCTCCCCCAAAAAGGCTTTCTTATTTTTGCAGAACAGAACTAACTCAGGAAGCAGGGGACTGGGGCTTGAGGTCTTCCCATGTGGGAAAGAGGGATAGAATTAGGGATAGAATTAGGGATAGAATAGGGTAATTACTGTATCCAAAGAACTAGGAGAGAGGTGAGCTTGGTCCTCCCTTGTTTACAAAAAAAACCCTGGATGCTCTGAATTTTCAAGTGTGCACCTGGAGATATATCAAAGCAATTTGTTTTTCCAAACTGCTGAGCTCTTCTCATCTGGAAACCATACTTGTCTACCACATCTGTATTTGTGCACCCAAAAAATCATGAGACGCTTTCAAAAATGGATACCTCTGTTTACTAAAGCCAAATGATTGCACTGACCAATCTGTGCATGTCCTTGACACTTTTACCACCACTCCCCAGTCTGAGCTGAGGGACTGAGGAGGTCTGGATCTTCAGCTGCCTAAAGCCCACCAGCTGTGACCAAGGTCAGGAGAACAACAACCATGCATATGCAAAAGAACAATTTATGTTTTCTAATTTTTTGTGGCTGTTGCTTCATGCCAATTCATAGAAATTAGTAAGTGCTTTATTGTCTGCTCTCCTGCTAAATCTTTGCTGAATATAGCCCTTGATTGTTAAACAGATGAATCACATTAACTCTTGGTGAAACACAGTCCATCAGCTTTACAGTTCACTACAAATTACACCCCGATTTCAAAGGCAAAGGCATTAAACATGTGGTGAAGTCAGACTTTGGAGAATTACTCATATGTGGTATATGGATGCTGAAGAGAAGCTGCTGCCCTGAGCAGACAGCCATGTTCCAACCTCAGCCCTGCCACTGAGGAGCTTCAAAGCACCGTGTGTGATATCCCTGTCACAGGAGCAGGAGGACAAGTGTTCATGTTGCCAGTGAACCTAGCAAGATGGAGAGAAACAACAATCTGTGTCTATTTAATAATTTAAAAATTAATATTAGATAATTGCTATTTCTCTCTTCTCTGTGGGTTTCCATCTATTTTTTCCCCCTTTCCTTCCCCAAGCCCCAGTCTTTTCACTTGTTATCCCACTAACAGTGGAGAGTGTAAAGCCCTCATCCTGAGTCCCTTGCTTTCAGAGCATCAAATTCACTGCCATCCTTAAGTTCTCTGTTCTAGTCTATTGCCATCTTACAGAAGAAGGGACAAGATGACCATATGCTCTTACGCTGTGTAAAATACATTGAACATATGATAAAAAGATGATCTCTCTTTCTCTGCGGGGATAAAAATACTGAATGTGGATTTGGCAACAGGCTATTTCAGACTGGGATTAGGAACAAATGTCTGTTACAAAATTAAATAACTCTCCTAGAAGTGTAGTGAAGTAAGTCTGCAAATACGCATCAGTAAGAAATTTTGCTTTCTATTACCCCAGAACTAAAACTTTAGTGTTTCTTTCTAGCCCATCATCTCTCTGGGAAGGAAGTAAAAACTTCTCACATCTCTCTCTCAGTATCATCATGCAGCCCTTCAAAGGGTGAAAAATAAGCTTGGAAACACAAAGCCAAAGACAAGATATGTAAAACTGATATAATATTTGGGGAAACCCCCCTCAATTTCTACATTTTCCTCTTTGTTTTTCATCTTCCTCTTTGTTTTTCATCTTTTAAGTGTCAAATATAAACGCCTTAATTTATTTTTGCTTTGAATACTTACAAAGATCTTAACCCTACTGTCGGTATCAAACTTTCTAGAACATCCACTGCATCTCTATTGGCGTTACAGAGAAGCATGCGCTGTCATGGAATCTGGCAAACTTCGTGTCCATTTTTTTAACTTGAAAAATAAAAAAAGTATATATAAAGGCTGGCAAATGTTTCTCGAAATCTGAATTAAAAGAAGGGACTGCATTAGCTGCAGGGAACAAACAGCACGGAGCCCTTGTCACGCTATTTGCTTCGGTGGACTTCCCCACGCGAGCACTATTGCGCTGGTGCCGGCTGCGTGACGCAGCCCCTGCGTAAGGCTGATGTCGGCACTGCTGGCAGGCTCTGCAAAGTCTCAACAGCCACAGGACATTTGTGCAATAAACCTTTCAATTATTATTTTTTTCGATTTCAATTATTTATTTTTTAAATTCAAATTAAAACCAAATAAACATTTTGAGGCTGCTGCTGCAAACTAAGCTGAGGAAGCTGCTCCCCTGTGTTTGTTCTGACACTGATGATCCCGTCTCGTTTGTCTCCCTTTCTGTTTTGCAATCTGTCATAACAAACTTGCCTCACTGAAACTCCAGCGGACCGTCAGCGAAATTCTGGCAAGTCTTGGGGACCTGTCAGGGAAAGTGGGCTCAGCCTCCTCCCCTCGGATGCTGCGGCCGTCAGCTCGGTCCCCCAGCAGAGCCCGCGGAACGCCAAACGCGCTCTGGCAGGAGGATGCGAGGAGCTGCCGCCGAGGATAACGGCAGCGGCTGCTCGAGAAATAGCCGGGAGCGTCGTGCTGCTGATAACACGAGCAGCTAATTACCATGCAAAGCACAGAGAACTGTAAGAAACAAGGCTGACTAAAGGCTACATAGCATTCTTGGGAAACAGGATGTCATTTCAAAAAAAAAGCTACCTCTGTACACATTTTATTTCAGAACATTACTTTATTTTTGCTTCTCTTACCAAGAGCATTCACGTGGAAATATATAAAGAAACCTCTCTGAAAGGAATTGCCTATCTTGTGATACTTCTCCCTTCTTTCAAATCTTTATGGCGAGGAAAGAAAGGAAAATATTCTGCAAGTATCTATTTCCATTTTAGCCCAAAAGATTTTTATGATGCAAGCTTTTGGTGTTGTCATTATTTGCACTGTGCTAGGTGTTTTTACAAAGTGTCCAGAAGTTACTGGATTTTTGTCTCCTGTACAAATTAGGTATGAGTATGATCTCCAGAAGCCTGAGGTACATACTCATCCTCTTCCCCTCAGATGGAACCAGGCTGGTTGTGTCACCCCCAGCCAGCAGCATGACAGTGACCACCCCATGCCCTCCCCACGCTGCACAGACACAGCACAGCATTGCTCACTGTGGGGCTGCACGATTTCCCAGGGGCCTGAAAGGATGCTTCAGGCACTGAATATAGGCAGGCAATAACCTAAATCTGCGATGAAACGAAACAGGAAAAAAGGGGGAAAAAAATCCCAAAAGATTGATGGACCTTAATCTAAAAGCATATTAGAAATGCTTCTTTGCCAGACAAGACACACACATGCACACACCCACACACATGCACATATACAACATTTTCTATGCAATCCATTTGCTAAAAATGATGAAGAAGTCCTTATCTTTTTACTTATCCCTAAGTGTGGCTTCTGCCTGTTGGGTTCAGGAGAACCATTACTCTCAAAGTTTCCCTTCAATCATTTCTCTAACATTCAAGTTGCAGAATTTGCTGGAATTTAAGAGGGCTTCATGCCTGCGATCGGACAAGTGATTTCTGGCGTTCTGTAGAAATACAGCCAGGCTGTGGAAAGGAATTCTGGGGAGGTGTCATTTGCAGATTCCCAGGAAGGGTTTTTAGACGCTTAGGGCGTAACTTGTTACTGACTTCTTTACATGTGCTACATCCTCCAAAATGCTCTTTATGGAGTGGTTGTGCTGAACCCACATGGCTCTTGGAAAGAAAAGGCAGGACTTTGAACCTAAGGAAAGGTGGGCTGATATAAAGAGTAGACCTCAAGCTCATTAAAAACTTACCCTTTTGCCCCTCAGGAAATACCCACTTTTTGTAATGTTTTCATTCTGAATGGGCACCTGGGGGCAATCTACCTACTTCTTGATTTTATCCTTTTGGCTACGCTTCCATTCAAAATGCAGTTGTGTCACATCATTTCCTTAAAAATGAAATTTTATGAACCATTCTTCAATTCAGTTGAGGAATCAAAATTTGATCAGGTCAAAATACTTCAATGAAAATTTTAAGAAATATAATCTGTAATCATAGAATAAGGTATGACCTAAATCAACAAGGCATT